GGATGGGTGTAAACTAAAAGTATGGCATTTCAATTGACGGCAACAGCATAGCCGTTTGGAAGGCGTGCCGGGATGATGATAACAAGGCAATTTCACCAGCAGCACTGCCTATGATGCGACTGCTACGGACGTCTTCGTAGAAAGGTCAGGAGCGTCGGATTTTTTCTATTTTTCCTCACGTATACAGAGCTTGATGGGAAAGCCGCAGCGACAGCGCGTGTAGCCGATTTTCCACAGGCGAAACCCCGCTTCACCGGTGAGAGATCCACTGTATGTACACAATACATGTTGGTGTTAGCGCGAGCGGCTGCAGAGGAGTTTCTAATTTTATCAGAAAGCGCGTGAGAAACTGTCGCGTTTCGCGTGCGATATGTATACGGCGCACCCGAAGTAGCTACAGCTGTCAAATTTAACTCGCGGCTTTCCCCCATAGCCGCGAGGAACAAAAATGTGCTCCTGAAAGCATTTGTCGCACATAATAGGTTTTAACAAGAGAATGGAAAATCAGGATCACTCATACATTCAAGGTAAGGAGCAAATTACTTCCAACATCGCTCGTCACGTGAGTATGATATCGTTCCGCAAAAATTAAAATAAATCAAGCCTCTTCGCCACACGGATAAGCAATCCTCGCCCGCGTTGCAGCGACCATACGTACCTCAGGTTTCAATAGTAATTTTATTTTTTTTTTTTTTTTTTTTTTCTAATTCCTTGTTTTATTTTTTTTTTTAAGCACGAAAGTAACTTTGAATTTCAATGCTCAAATACACAGTTATCGTTTATTTCTACACCTGTAGAATGTCTAATTCACTTTCTAGCGAAAAAAGTTTATATTTTTTTTATCATGTTGTATGACTACTGGAAATCTAAAAAAAATTTACTTTCAAGAAATGTAATACTATCCACAGAAGTTTTCCACTGATGTCGATCAGTAAAAATATTTTCTAATGATTTTCATAAAATTACAACGTATTATAAATTCATTTATTACTTAAGTTATTTAGAAAATTCAGATTATTCTTCACAAACTCGATTTTTCTCATAACTTTCTGCTGTGATATTGCTCAAATATCATATTGAAATAAAAAAAAGCAAGTGATTCTTATATGTAGTTCTTTTGAAACAAGAGCCCTTTAAAAATGTGGAAAAATTGCATGACTAAAATTTAACTAATTTCAAATTATCAACATTAAGGCTTAACAGCCATAAAATCATACGTTTATTAATCAGCGTTCCAAATAAAAGATACATTTAGTGTGCTGCGAAGGAGTACTTCTAGATGCTTCAGTGTCTGATTTGGTCGACACATCCTTTTGGGAAGATCTCTGGCTAAAGCAACACTCCTACATTTTATTACTTTTCAAAATCCTCCTTCTTATAAATTTTACTTCTTGTTTTTCGACAAAACCATGGTATTTACAACTTAAGCGTGCTAGAAAAATCCATGAAATATTAATTCATAAACACATTTTTCAAAGGTAGTAATTTATTTAATTAGATAACTTCATAAATATTTAGGTTCGTATGTTAGTAAAAATTTAGTTCTAGAATATGATTTAAAATTAATCAATGAAACCGTTTTATCCTAGAAGTTTTCGTTTAAATTTCTGTTCAAAAGTGTTCTATTAACTTGGTGTTATTTAAGCTTAAAGAGAACTAAAACGCAGATACCAGTTTTAAATATATTACATTTATGGTGAAGAGAAGTATATATGTGTGACCTTCATGTTCTGCTTAATCTATCTTTTAGGTACAACCGGAGCGCCACTAAGTAGTGCTCATTGTGTTACATAGGAAGAATGATGATGGTTTTAAATTAGACTTTAGTTTTAATTAGTCTTGTTCTACATCTCCACAGATTTGTCAATAAATCGTCAATAAACGTTATTACAGAATCAGTAAATTATGAATTTATTCATTATCAAGACTACATTAGATACAAAATAAAAAATATGCCTCTTCCCGTAAACAGTAGCAATAAAAAATCATTTGCCATTATACAGCGATTGAATCCGTGCAAATCAGTTCCTAAAAAGATCATAATGAAACAATAAATAATATTATTAAATAATATACAATATATTTTTCAGGTCACAGCAATATGGCCTACTAAATACGGAATTCTTTTGGACACCTCAGTTCCAGTTGGAAATATTCACCGGTATATTTATAATCTTAGTTTATCAAGTGATAATCTACAACTCTTAGACTAGTACTTTTTTGTTGTTTTTTTAGGTCAAAGGTGTTAGGTCCAGCAAAAAATATTTTTCTTACTGATGAATCAACTGTATCCTCAGTTTATTCCTTAACTCATCCTTTAGATGAAATTTTGCCTGTTCTTTTGAAGCGAGGTAATATATTTTTTTCTATTTTGTAAAGTAGTGGTAGCGATATTTTTGTTTTTGTTAATTATTAAATAGTACTTTAAAAATATCAAAATCGTTTGACAGTATTATCCTAAATTTTATTTATTTGTTTAAGGGGTTATATGCATAGTTATATTGCTTTCACTAATGTCATACAGTTTTTACATAAGTTTTACTTTTTTTTGAGAAGAAAAAATCAAAACAAATTTATAAATTACAAATTTATTTTTTCTAAACAAATCCGTTTCCAATTGTGTGACTTAATGTTTTCAAATCAATGTAAAAATTATTCTTTCGTACATTTTCTGTATTTTTTTAGACATTTGACGTAGTTCATATTTTTTAAAGATAACATTTAAGCTAAATTTCTGAAAAAGCTTATGCTCATATGTAATTATTTTCAAAACATGCGACATTTCAAGAAAAATTTTTTATTCTGAATTTATAAATGTACATCTTACATATATAAAATTCAAGGTTGTTATTTTATTTTTTTAAACTCTTGTCTATTATTCAATCTCAGTAATATCGTTTTTATTATCGTTACCTTAACGAAACTGTAAAAATAGTTATTTTATGCCCATTTTTCATTCCTTTAGGAATATAGCATTTGTTTAGTATTTAAAGATAAAGTTGTCAATGCATCTTTTTAAATCAATAATTTTAGTTTATCAAAGAATATCAAACATTTTTTGTGACATTTTTAAAATTTCTCTTCAATTCCATAAAGTGTACATATTACAAAAAACCACTTGAAGCCATAAACCTTATTTGACCTTTGCATAGGACATATGGTGAAGGGTTACACTGTCCACAATTATGGATACATGCACATGTGAAGCACGTGTAAATATATATATCTACTTATATTATATAGTTAATTTTGTGGGGCGTTTCACACGAACTCTCTACAACCCTTACACGGAACCCTTCCCCACAGACCACCCACACCACCCAAGAGGCAAATAAATGGACTTTATGCCTACAAATGATTACGAATAAATTTATTGTTATAACTAAGAGTAAGATAATATATTAATTTATGTCACTGTATGTAAATTGTCTGCATTTATATATAACCTTCTTAGCATATGTATTCTATCTTTTCAACACAAATCCTTTTAGTAGCAGAGACACTAGTACATGATTGTCGCTCAGCTGGACTGTGTACAGCCGTCGCGTTGGTCCACTTGTCTTAGTGTATTCCTCAAATGCTAACAGCAGCTGATTTACCTATAGGTCGTCGTACGTACTAGCTGTGCTACTGTCAACCGATAGTAACTGTCGGTAGGCTCCGTATCTATAATAAACTGTAAAAATAAACGCAATTATTATTGGTTTTTAGTTTTAAGTTTGGATTTTTATAATACATTCAAACTCTCTAAAGAAAATTTTTTTATGTTGATGTACAGCTATATTTATATATATTTCCAATAACGAAGGTCGCTTCCTCCAACGCTGTGATAAGCTGGAATTTTTCGTCCATAAAAACACCTCTACCTCTTCCTTACACCATGTATATATCGAATTTTGACACTATCAACTGCTACCCTGCACGACACGCGCGCACGTATGCACACAGATATACATACTTTTGCTCTCTGTCTCTCTGTGTCTCTCTCTCTCTCTCTCTCTCTCTTTATCATCCTGCAGTTAGCTGCTTCTGCTCTGTGCTAATATACATATATACGCTATGCTTGCCAGTTCCTACTTGGCCAGCAGCCGTGCACAGCACGTGTGTCTGCATGTATACTTAGCTGCTTGTAGACGAATATGATAAAGTATATCTATGTATTCGAGCTGGCAGCAGCGTAAACTCAGCTCTTCTCAGGAGAAAGAGAGAGAGAGAGAACGGTATTAGTATATCTCTATAGGTGTGACGGAAAAAGTGTTGCGCTTTGAAAATTTTCACTGCCCAAGTGGAGAGTCCAAACCTCGTATAAACCCTTCTGTTAACAATCTTTGGCTACAAACGAGGATTGCCGTAATACACAACACACAGTGCCTTGGTAGCGTTTGCGGAATACATCAAAGACTGAGGAGTACATCCTGCATAACGTGTATTGCGGAGCTTTACCTTTTAAATATAAATTTTTAGAGAAAGCATAAAATCATATACATAAACAAAGTAACGAGGCAGCCCGTGTTTTAGTAGTATAGTGGATCGAGGAACAGTCGTGCAAATGCGTAAGTTTGCTCTGGATGGTTCCACTATATTTAGGACCTACACTTACAAACAGAACTTTGTGTCTCCGTGTGATAAAATTTTCCGTTTCAGTATGTACATGTATGTATGTATATACATATATCCATTTTTATGTCAGGTGACTTAACAGGACTTTACGTGCTTTTAGAATATATACTAATAACATTGAAAAGTTATGAGGACAGTCCGCATAAGTACGATTTTGGTCCTCATAATAACCTTTTTTTACATAATAATGTCCGCATAAGTCACCATTGATAAAGATATATAAATATGTAAGTATATAAATGTGTAAATATGTGCATATATATATATATAAGTATAATATAGTTGTTTTAAGTCCGCGCATTAACCGACCTGCCTGGTCCCTCGCCCCACCGTGCCGCTCCTCCCTCTCTCCTGCGCTGCCCTTCCAGTCCGTCACACAAAATTACGAAAAATTCTGCTTGTTACTAAAATTGTTGTATATTAAAAAATTATTGTGATTTAAAAAAAAAATAAAATAAAAGCCGACCCGCCCTGCATCATGCTGCCCCTCAACGCTCTGTGCCACCTCTCTGTTGCCTCGTGCCACTCTCCAGAGGTGTATGCCATTCAAGAGAGATGTATGCCCTATAGAAGGCAGACATGTTGAAGAAGCACATGATAAGTCTTTTAAAATAATTTAAAAGGGTCATTACACGTACGTTGAAGTCTCAGAGAAAAAATCCTGTATAATTTCTTTATCTTTAATAAAAAAGTTTTACATGCCAGTGAATGTCGCTTTAGGACGTTAAATACAGTTTTTTTTGTAGATATTATCGAAATCTATAACTTACATTCGTCGTTGCATAAAACATATGTAAAAAATTATAAATCGCTAATTGTAACGTTTTTTTTCACTTTTTATTTAAAAAAAATCTTAATTTGACATGTAACCTTACAAATAAATAACATAAGATTGCTTTTCTAAGTAAATGATCTGTAGAAATTTTCCAATTAGTTTTCGTATGATTGGTGGCTATCAAATAAACTAAGTAAATGTTGAAATCGAGTTTATTAATGACAAAAGTAATTGCCAGTGTTGCTGCACATTTGCGCTCCTTTTACCTTTTTAAATATTCACCTCGCTAACTGTAATGAATGCCTTTAAGTAAACAAACCGCGTTAGTCCTGAATAAAAGATTCGTAAAGAATAAAAAAAAAGAACAATCAATTTATGTATTATTAGAACCTTGTATAAACAAACCATTAATAAAAAAAATGAAAAAAATTGTAAATTTCTTTAAATTCTTTTAAAAATTAAAAAAATAAATAAAAAAGTTATGTCAATAATAAATAATTTATCTCTTAATTTAAATAATTAAGTAAATATTCATTAGTACACAAAAAAGCAACTACTAAAAATTATTTATTTCTAAGTATTAAAAAGAATTACTAAATTGTATGGAAAAAATAGTAAGCTAAACAAATAATTTATTGATTGAAATAGTGTATAATCGAACCTAATCAATCGATAGACAGTCAACAAATATCACAATTGAAGACAAGTTAAAAACCGCACTATAGCAAGAAGGACGAGGTTAATCTATGATTAGGATCGTTTATAGCAGAATGAATAGGGTACTTGGCTGGTGTGCAAAAGATAGCTGGCTTAGTTCTCGAGGAATTTCTTCTGGTTTTTTCTATTTTCTTAGAAAATAAGGTGTAGAAATAAGTATCATAATGTAAAAAAACTTTTGTTCTTTGAATATGCGCTTTAATGGTGTAGTGTAACGTAATAGAGTTGGTGTGCTAAATTAAAATATTTACTTTTGTTGTACGTTTTCTCAAAGTTGTTGGTTTTCATAATCTGAAATTCTTATGTTACATTTTTTTTTCATGTATTAAATAAAAAGATTTTTTTTAATTTAGAGTAGCGGAGAGTTAGCGCGCAGAGAGTGAAACTCCACTGACTTTTTTCTAGATTATACAGTTGTTAGTGCGGAGTATACTACATGAACGCTCCTGTAGCCACCCAACATACGAGGTCAGTTTAAAAAATAAGGTTGATTTTCAAATTTTGTGGGCTACGTTCATTTTATTGTCGATTTTTTTATTTAGTTACGTTGGTACTATTATAATTAGTTTAGTACTAATATTACTATTATTATTGTTTGCATATTATTGGCTATGTAGCATATTTAGTTTATTTGGGAGAAGCATAATAGGTTAGGAGTGTTTGATACGCTTGGCGATTTTTCTTATGGAAAAAAATGGAAGAAAGAGATTGCATTCAATTTTGTGTTAAAAATAAAATCAAGTGCTCAAAAACACTTGAAAAGCTGACTGTGGAATAGGGTAAGAGTACTTTAAGTCAAATAAGCGTGTACAAGTGATACACGCTTTTTACAGAAAGTCGAAAATATGCGAATGACGATGCTCGCCCTGAATGCCTTAGCACATCAACAACCAATAAAAATGTTAAAAAAGTGAAGATAATCGTTATTGAAAATCATCAAATTACGATTAAAAATTTGCTGAGGATGTCAGCATATTAGTTGGCTCATGCCATGCAATTATTTTGAAGATTTTGGACATGAAGCGCGTGGGAGTGAAGTTTGTTCCAAAATTGCTGAATTTTGACCAAAAATACTGTCGCATGAGCATCGCTCAGAAATTGTTTAATGACATCAACGGCTATCCACATTTGTTTCAAAGGATCATAACTAATGACAAACCACGGATACATGGTTATGACATCGAAATATAAGTCCAATCGTCCCGATGAAAGAATCTAGGAGACCCAAGGCCAAAAAAG